GTCAATCATCCGAAAGAATTCCAGTCGGCAAATTTAAATTTTCGCCAGTGCTGTGGCGCTGCAATCTTTGGCTATGTCTTGGGCTACTCAAATATTTTACGTTTTTGATACTAAATTAACTTCTGAAGTATAATTTTTTATTGTTTTTATATTTTTTAATATATTTATTTTGTTTGTACAAAATAAAAAAATAATTTTTAACGATACAATAGTCTTCGTTAGGCTTAACATCGACGAAAATTCAATGCGAAGCGACACGCAACGGAGAAAAATGTCAAGATGGGATAAATCAATATATTTTTTCGTACATAATTGGTTATCCGAAACATCGATCTTCTGAACAACCCCAGACCCCAATTGATTCGGATAATTGACGCTCTACTGTAGTAGTAACAAATTCTAATACTGGCTCTCCACTTAATGCAATTTTGAGGCAACTCAATTGCCTTTGTCACTGTTCATGTGCTGTAAAAATGCTGTCCAATTAGAATTGTCTTCAAGTACTTTGGCAATATAATATTGGCACAATATATATTTTTGTGTGGCAATTCTGTTCAGCCAATTGGCATACAGCACCCATAATTTCAAATATACATGACATCATATTTTTACTCATCATTCTTAGCACTATATACAGTATGGTATGAAAATTTTGAAAAGGTGCAAAAAAACAGCAAATATTAGATGGTCTAATACTACTGTTGAGAAACTGTTGGAGGATATCAAATGCCATTCTATTCTTTATGACAAAAATAAAGATTCACATTATAAAAATGAGAATATAAAAACAAGTATGCAAGCAAATGGTTTAAATAGTGGTAGGCCAGGTAGGACATTAGTATAAAATGTTAAAAAAAATTTAAATATAAAATTAAATTGAAAAATATAAAACTTCATTTTGAGTTGAAGTTTTTGCTGGCATTTTAAAAAAGTTTCTATAAAACATTGCAAATCTTTTTCCAGAATGTGTATGAATGTGGCATTGCATTGCTGTATGAATTATTACATGATGGCTATGTGATTACACCAAATGGAGAGCCAGCATAAGTTATGTAGTTCCTGTGAATTATAAATAAATAATTAGGAATAATTTGAATAAATTTTGAATTTTCTGAAGCTTATGTTATCTTTACATTTATTTTAATTAAAGCATATTTGTTTTATTTCTTTGAAATTTTTTATGGCGAAAAATACACATTTATTTCTTTTGTTTTCCTAAAAAGTGCTAAAGGTCTAACTAACTATACTTGTAGGTGCTTGATATACAATAAAATAAAAATCAGCTGCTAAAGTTAAAAACCACTGTGTGACAGATTTATTATGGTTAAAAGCCACCACACGTTCTGGATGTTAACTAATAATGAGGTGATGATAAGAAAATAAAACTTCCTTTTTCGTTACGATTTATCTTCAATCATCTTATATAAGCAAGTAACAAAATTATTCACCAAATACAGAAATTTAACTTGGTTACTTTACAACAATATTTTGTTATTCATGTATTTTATGTTCTTTGAGCGACATTTGCATTTTTATCAATACAGTATCTTTTACAGTGACACATTATAAACCCTTTCTTACTTCCAGATGTTAACATGGATGCTGAGCAAAGTGTTAATAAACTTGAGAGTATGTCCTGAATGTTAATAAAGTCCTGTAGAAATTGTAAATTCATTATGAGCATAAACTCTCGATCAAGAAGACTTTCCTTGTTTCCTAACTGATAGAGACCTAATGGATTAATGCTCATAACAACAGCTAAACCATTTCTGGGAGCTGCATGTCCCCTATTAATATTAAGCACCCTAACTAAAACAGTTGAACCAATTTCAACTGCAGAAAATTACCCTAAATTGAGAAAACAAGTTCAAATAAAAAAAAATAAGATGAATGATTCTATGACACAGATCCCTGTACTATTATTGTGAAATAATAATCAGAACAATTCTTAGTTCATTGTTTTTGAAAATTTTAATAACTAAAATGTTTTATGTTTTTTTGGCTTTATCGAAGGTATTAATTTACATCTGATATGGAGAGTGCCAATGGCTTAATGGCACAAAGGTTGAGAAAAATGAAATCCTACTCGGGTATAATATACAGTAATACCTAGGTTTTCGTTGACTTTGGTTATCATCTGTTTTGGATTTTGTCAATTGTTTTTGGACAGATTATCAACGAAAACTGAAGTATCACTGTCCAGTGTACACCCATATACCCAGCATCAATCTGCATTTATTTCTTTAGCTTTTGTTGTCCTATCCTAAAACCCTCCAGTTATAGGGAAAAACAGAATGGTTTTAGGCTAAAGCTTTTTCCAGCGAAACTTGTGAAGTGATGAGTAATAGCATCAAAGCATAGGGTAGTTTACCCTAGATTTACCCTAAATATAAGATTACCAGAAACATTACTCTGAGAGGTTGAAATTACTCTAGAAAAGGGTAATTACCCTAGAAACGGCAGCACTGGTCAAGAATGAACACATACAAACTCCATAAGTGTTTGCAATGCGTCCGTTGACAAGTTACAACCTATCCTTTGTATCATGGTTGCGTCAGCTAACGTTCAGAATGCATTATGGCTTTTCTTAATCACCACAATGCATAGTGCTCAAATATCATAAAAGCCATGATGCAAATTTTGCTTTGTGGATATTTTGAGTTAGCCACAATGCATTGTGGCCGTTTTTACAAATGCCACGACATGAATTTTGCTTTGTGGCTGTTTTGAAATGACCACAACATGTTGTGGTTGTTTTTTTGCTCAATGAGTGATTTTGGTTTTTGAGCCTAACATATCTATAAAATTAGCAAAGAACAAGTTTTAAAATTGATCTAGACTTGAATCTGGCCTTTTAGAGTAAAAGGGACATGTTTTAGCTGATTCATTCATCTGGTCATCTGAATAAATTGTATACACACTTAATGATTTTTTTTATACTGATTTTATTTTGTGCTTTCAGTATATAAGTTGTAGAAACAGTTCTGAAAAATTTTTATTTAATTTTTCATTTCAATAAATCACATAATCCTGAATCAATATAATAATTGTCAGTTTGGATGAAATAGCACATTGTTGAACAAATAGAAATCAGTATTATCAAATTAAAAATTTTCATCCTAAAATTTATGAATAGTTTTTAACCTTGTTATGGAATAAAAATTACATTTAAGAATCTTTAACATCAACAATAAAGAAAATCATTGTTTAGTTTTCTATAACTTTATACTAATGATACAAATATTTTTAATAACTAAATGAACATAATTACTTGCATTTTAAATATTAAATAATGCTGTACTCTAATAATTGTATAATTTTTAAAGATTCTATTTACATTGACACTGAACTTGGCATGCGAAGAAGGGCAACAATTCTGTCTGGTTGTAGTCAAAGCCAGAGCACCCACCAATCTGCTGGAAAAGGCCACCCACACCCTTCTCACAGCCCACCTAGAGGAGTATCCTTATGTCATCACAAGCTCAGTAGTGCTCATACAACAATAAAGAAGTCTGTCCTCCCTGGTACTGTACATCACTGTTTTAGACTTTAAATCTCTGTACGACTTCATCAAAGCTCCTCCATGTTTTTGTGTGCTCTGAGACATGTTTCATATTGTCAGTGATGACATTCTCCATCAGCAGGTTCTAGAGATGGCCTACTTAATTTGTTATAGTTTGGTTTTTCAATTTAACAGGATAATCTATTGTTAAGAAAAGTGGATCCAATGGGTAGCCTGATATCCAGAGACCTATGTGAGACGATGGTCCAACAGTTAGATAGCAAAGACCTCTTGCATTTCCTCCCAAACATTCTTTTATACAGGAGGTACATCAGTGACATTATTTTCTGGAAGATAGTTCCGGATTTAATGACCTTTTTCAGTTTGATCAGTAACAATCCTGACAGGTTGTTCCTGGAAGTGGACCAATCTAGCCCCTCAGAGGTGCACTTTTCAGACAGCAATATCACTGCTAATGGGTTGGAGATTTGCAGCTCGGTATTTTGCAAGCCAGGTTCAATGATTATAGCTACAACCAACAAACTGCCGAAAATCTATCGGGCTAGCATAAAACTAGCCCGATAGATGTCGGCAGTCTGTTGGTTGTAGCTATAATTATATAGTTATCTGTTGGTTGTATAGTTATACATTATAGTTATAAATTATAGTTAGTCTGTTGGTTGTAGCTATAATTATATAATTATAGCAGTCTGTTCGGCAGTCTGTTGGTTGTAGCTATAATTATATATCGGGTTGGAGAGGTTTGTATATACCAGGTTCAATGTCTTCTTACATCCTGGCTGGATTGTGTGATCTTCATTGTTATCAGATCACAACCTACAAAGCATTAGTTAGGAAGTTTTCACCCATTCTTCTACCCTAAGCTCTTGGCACTGAGTTAGTGTTAATAGAACAGTTATCCATTGACCATGGTTGCCAAAAAGTTGTACATTGGCTGATTGATCTATACCCCTGGACTCACCTGGGATTCATATCCTGGGTCTACATGTCTGTAACTGACCAAGCTGTGGAGGTGGAAAGGTCTGTTACTTTCAACCCCTACTTAAGATCATTGTATGCAAAAATTGTTAAGAAGCATGCTGTTTGTATAGCTTCAGGAGGCATTTGTTTATTTTCACCATTCTTAATAGAAAGGACTTTACCAGACTACCAGGTATATAGTTTCCCTATCAAGAACACCAGATGCAATAGGGCCCTTCTGTACATCGGATCCACTAAACATTCTATGAGAACCAGAATGCAAGAACATATCTTGGACATGCAACATACGAGAACTTCCACAGCTCTCTCTACCTATACAGCAGATCTGGAAATCATGGTGGACTTCATGTGTCCTCAACATCCCACACGGAACACCTCAGATGGTTGGAGGCCATTGAAATCTTTAAAGCTAACTTTGCGTCATCTTAAGGAGGCCTGGCAAGCTCTATTTGACCATGAAGGTATAGTCGTTGGTTGAATCTTTGTTATGCACAGAACAATATGTGGCTTTAAACTTTTTATACTTATAGCTTTATACTTATATACTTGAATGGTGGTTCAAATTTGTTTTTTTTTTTTTAAATTATGTTCCAAATGATGTTCCATTTGGAAGTGTTGTAGCACCTGAAGAACTCAGAATGAGTTAGAAAACATTTGTCCAATAACGTTTGAACAATAGTGGATATTTCATGGAACTTGTATAGCTGATGATGACAAAAGTTTGTTTATAAGATGAAAAAATAATGCTGATGCATACTTCCACAATAGTGGATATTTCATGGAATTTGTAAACAACTAAATCAGTTACAATATTAAATGCATAGAAGTAATCACAAAAGTGTCTTCTTTTAAATCTTAACTAAATCAATATTTTATAATTCAAGTTCCTGACTGATCAGCAAACATTGTACTTCAAATGATTGAAGAAAGTGCCAGGAACAATTGTCAGATTGTGGAAAGGATATAAATCTTGAAGTTAGATGTACACACTTGATAGTAAACTACATGCTTCATTTTTTAGAATCAGACATTGGTGATAATATGCAACATATGAAATAATATGGGGTTTGGCAAAATGGTGGAATAAGAAGCACAGACACATTACAGTATATTAGACACATATTTATCTGAAGTCATGTTTTGACAAAAATGTGGTGTAGTAGATGCACTATTTTGTGATACATTGTATAAACTTGTAGAATTCTGGTCTGCAGAAACATAGTTATCACAAACTGATGCACATTGTATGAGAGTTTACTGTATGACTAGTACATATGCAAAATTCAGATTTTGTCATTCAAAGGTATACTTTTTTTTAACTTTCATTATCACACGATTTATGCGAGTTTAAACCTAGGACTGAAAGTTAAAAAAGTATACCTCTAAACGACAAAATTCAAATTTTGCATATGTACTGGTACTAGTTGCACATTGTACAGGAGTTAACTGTAGTAAACTTTTTATAAAATCTGTATAATGACATGAAAAAAAATGTATATATATATACAGGTGTGTGTTCAAAGTTTGAGGATTGAATTTATAATAATAAAGTTATTGGCAAAAATTATTTAATTTAGTATCTGTCTTCAAAATATACTCTTTCATGATCTATACAAATTTTTGCATAATGTAATAATTTGTGTATGCCCTTATGAAAAGATTTTTTTTTTTGAAATGCTGTTTAGTTCCCCTTTGGATTTCATAAATAGACTGAAATTGTCTCCCTTTCAAAGCAAATTTTAATTCAGGAAACAACAGCCCCAATAGTTTGAGTCCCAACTGACCACTTCCTGTTTCCCAGATTAAAATTTTTTGTAAAAGTAATGATAATAAATAAATATGATAAATCAGTGTTACTTCACACAGAAATGAACTACTTAGTGTTTAAATTTATAATATCCTGAATTGTTATATATACAAAACCATAATTTTTAATGAACCACTTTTGATCTATTCCCAATTGACTCCTGACTAATTTTTGACCCCCCCAAAAATTCCATATTGATTTTAGGGGTTGAGTTAACCACGTTGGGAACTCCTGCTTTAAACTGTGTATAAAATTTTTTGTGGTCAAATGCTTTTTCTTACAATAATAGATGTGTCAACAGTCTTTTTATGAAATGGTAAATAGTAAATTAAATTATAATAAATAAATATAAAACTGTATTAATAAACTTTAAGTTAACGAAGCAGATTAATGCTTTGCGTACTCATGTAAATATATGTGATGTATATGTTGGACTCTTCAGAGTAAGCATATATATATATATACACATACACATTTGTCAACTTTGTCTTATTGTAGTATTCTCATATATTCATGGGCAAATATGAAACAAAATAGGACATCATTGACAAGACTATAAAAATTTTTCCAGGTTTTTCACAATTTTTGCAAGATTTAGCATAAATTTTCTAAAATAAATACAAACATGGTGTCTTGTAGATATTGTCTTCTGAATAATTGGAGTTTTTCAACGTAATTGAATTGGATGAAGAAAATGTTGTCTCATTCATTAAAAGTATGACTTAGAAGATAAGATGTAACGTTTACATAAAAATTAATGTTTCTTAAAAACTAATTCACTCGAGGAAGAGGGTATATATTTCTTTAAGCACTTGGTAAGAAAGAAAGAGTTAAGATTGTGTAAGAAGAGAATAGTCTACATTTGATTTTAAAGAATAAAAAAATTAGTGTCCACAACTTTCTATGTATATATTACAGAGAAATTTCATTAACCTAGCATATGGTATGCCAGCATGTCGATTGGTAATTGATGCACTGGTTAGGTCAGAAGTTAAGATATTCATGTAAAAGCATTCAAAATGTGCATTTCTTGGAAAGAAGTGTGTGACTGCTCCTTTTGGAGTTGACAAATGCCAAGATTACAAAGATGTGATATGTAAAATCAGTTAAGTCATGCATGATTTTTCTAAAGACTTTTCCAAAAACAGTGTGCAGAAAGGATATAAGAAGCAGAAATATTTGGCACACTTGAAATCAATAATTATCGTGGAAACACAGTACATTTCTTCATGTACTTTGATAATTAGAGTACATCTGTCTGTATTTCTACACAAAAAAGTGTAGAAGCATAAAGTAAGAATTGAGTGTTTGTGTTTCAAGCCAATGAAGGGTAGGAATAGCCTGGAAAAATTAAAGTAGTGTGTTAAACAATCATAAAAGTCAGATTTGTATAGTTTAATCTTAACATCTGTGTATGTAATGTAGGGGATTGAAGAAAACCGGAAAAACTTTTACTATCTGATAAGGTGGTAAATTCAATAACCCAGCTGTGTGTAGATCTCAATGATGCTGGTTAATGAAATGTCATTGTAACTGAAAGGTTTCAGTTTTCCAACTTAGTTTGAGTAAATAGCTAAGGCTAAAAATACTGTTTATGTATGAAATTTAAAGCTCTTACCCTGCAGATGATGCTGTTGAAGAGTGATTTGGGAAAGGTGCAATAGTTCAGGTATAGAGAGTAGTAAAGGTACAATGTTAAATCTAGGGAACAAACATATTGAACAATTGTAAAACCTATTGTGATTCACACTTTGGGAACTGCAGATATAACTTAGAATATAAAGGAACAAGTTGGAGTTTTTGAATAAACAAGAGCAAATCATCACATGACCAACCAGCTAAACAGAATAATTAATACTCTCAAACCTCAACATATATTGTAAAAAACATTTTACATTATTTTTTTCAATAAATTAGTTTTGTCAATATTGACCACAGCACTATCTATGACTTTTAGTGCAGATCTGTGTTTTTATTTTACTGTTACTTCATGATGAGACCAAAATGTGATTTTAACCATCCAATTCATTCATAACGATTGATGGCTTTCTCGACAAATCTACCAATTAAAGAAGAATAAAGTTGACCACACAACTGTTGTTAGGTTAAGAGTTTTATAACAGCAATGAGAATGCTATGAGGTATACTGACACTAACTTCATTGTTAATCTAAAAAATTGTACCAGTTGAAGTTGGTTGACCTTAAGAATGCTAAATTGCCACCCTGGAACCCAGGTGAAAATTGAAAAAACGCCATTGAGAAAGAGGTAGGAGAATAGGTACCAGAGAACAAATGGATCTGAATCAATTGCAAACAGCCCAGAAAACACTTGTTTTACCAATTATTTTTGAGTAGATTGCGAATTTTAAATCAACTCATTGTATTTTAATTGAATAAAACTGTTGAATTTGACAGGTTCCTGCTAGTATACTTACTTAGTCTGATAATTATCTGACTTATGGGCACTTAAAGTAGAGCGTTGTTTATCCAAATCAATTGGGGACTGGGGTCGTTCGGATAACTTATTTTTCAGATAACAGATTATGTACAAAAAAATATATTAACTTATTTTATGTTGAAATTTTTCTCCGTTGCATGTTGATTTGCGTTTAATTTTCGTCGATGTTAAGCCTAATGTAAATTCTTTAAAATAATAATCGTGACTATTGTATTGTTAAAAATATATTGAAAAATATAAAAACAAAAAAATTATATTTTGGAAGTTAATCTAGTATCAAAAATGTTTGATTCAGCATGACACAGTTTGACTGGAACGCTTTCAGTTAACCGATGTTTTGGTTGATCAGCTTTCGGATAAACAACGCTCTACTGTATTTAAATTGAAAAATTTAAATAAATGTCAATTTGTTAAATGTAAGAAATAAAAATTTTAGCAGTTTTTATTTTTTTTTAGATTTATACAATTTAATTATTTGATTTATTTTTATAATAGTGCAAAAATAATTTGACATTTTGTCATAATATTGTATTATGACATAATACAATATTATATCTTTGTCCCAGTGTTGCTGATTCTTATAACAACTTATTTTAAAATTTCAAAAATTAATAAATAATAAGTTTTTAATATTTTAATATTACATAAAAATTTAGGACGATACATTCATCCAAATATGCGGGCTGGTCGTGGTAATCAACCAAATGAAATAAATCCTGCTGCACCCACTCATAATCAGTGGAACACTCCATGTGGAAATAATCAATATTCACCAGAACAACCAAAAACAACAGTTGATTGCAATGAATGGGAAAAAGATCATATTAAAGAGTGGGATAAAAAAGATTGCTATTGCAGAAACAATAGAAGTAAGTAGTAATTAAGATATTTAAATAAATTAATTATTATAAAGTCTCTATAAATCGGCACGAAAAATATATAAATTTTAGGTTTAACGGTAGACCAACACACAGCAGATGGCTAATTACTTCTCTTTATTTAATCACTGTATATGCATTTCGGTCCTATTAAAGAACCCTCTTCAGTACTACAAAATATAAATAGTATAATAAACCTTATGCGAATAAAACTACCAATGTAACAATTAATATTTTAGTTTTTCATTACCATTTAGGTACACAGCTTGGATTCACATTTCATTAGCACTTTCATATCAAGTGTATTTAGTAACGTTTTCTGATTGTCTATGGTCGTATTTCTAAATTATTATAATAAATATTATTCTAGATTAAAACATTATCTATAATTATACACAACAATTCCAAATTTTTAAAAAATCATTCCAAAAAATTTTTAAAAAATAAATTTTAAAAACATTTTACATAAGATTCTTAAAATTGTGATTAAATATAACTTATAAAATTTAATTTTTAAGTAACATACCGTTTACAATAAATCATACTCTAGGCTTCTGTTCAACGGTCCGTCGTTGGTACAATTCTAAATGACACACCCCCTTTGACTATTCTACGTCATGACATCATCTGTCAATTTCCTCTACTACAGAATACCATCTTTGATCTATTTGCATTCCGTTAGATACATTTATTAATTGATTGTTATTTTTATTATTATATTTCATTATTTCAACATGCTCTTTAAATTTTCTCTTATAAATATTCTTTTCATTATGTAATATTTGTACATTATTTTTATCTAATTTACAATTATTATTCTGAATTACGTGATTATACCATGGTGAATTATTATTTTTTAACCGTATAGCGGCCTCATGTTCTTTAATACGTTTTTCTAATTTACGACCTGTTTCACCTATATAAACTTCTGGTATATTACATTTACAATTTATCATATATACAGTACCTATTTTTTCTTTTTTATCTATTTTATTTGAATTTGTATGTATTTTAATATTATGAAAAAGTTTATTTGTCAAGGATGGGGCCAAAATTACACCTTCATTCTTTAAAATTTTTAAACAATTATTATAAATACTATCTATATAAGGGAAACTACTGTAATTCTGTTTTTTATTTTGTTTGGTATTAAATTTATTTCTTTCCCAATTACTATACCATTTTTTCAATGTGTAATTAGGGTAACTATTAAGAATAAATTTCTGATTAAGTTTATTAAGTGCAATGTTCTGGTCGCTATTATTTGTAACTCTACTATATATTTTTCTTATTTCCATTAAATAAACATTCTTTTTTATATCAATTGGTGTACTTGAGTGATAATTCATTGTTTTTTCAATATTCGGAAATTTTTTATATGTTGTAAACAAATATTTTTCTTTTCCTTTAGTTATTGTTATATCTAGGTAATTAATTCGTTTATTTTTCTCTAATTCAATTTCAAAAATTATATGATGATTTATGTTATTAACTATTTTCAAAATTTCATTTTCATTTGTTATTTTATTGTTAAATATTATTAAATAATTGTCTACGTATCTTTTTACCATTCTAATACCTTTTATATTTTGTATTTTTTCATCAATTTTTATCATGGTTAATTCTGCAAATTTTGGCCCCATCCTTGACCCCATACTAATACCATCTATTTGCATGTAATATTCATTATGTATTTCAAAGTAATTATTATTATATGCAAATTTAATTAACTTTGCTAATGCTGGGTTAATATTATTATCTATCAAGTTTTGTTCAACTAATTCCCATTTTATATTAGGGTACATATTTTTAACATCTAAACTCATAAGAGTATCAGTACTTTGGAATTTAATTTTATGAAAGGCATTAATCAACTCATCAGTATTTTTTATACTACTATTAGAATTATTAATATGATCTAATTGTTTTTTAATGTAAGTTTCTAAATTATACAGTATAGAGCAGCGAAAGTCTACTAAAGGCCTGTATTGTTCCAATTGTTTATGCGTCTTTAGGCGAATATTTAATTTAGGAATTCTATTATTATTAAAATTTAATATTTTATTTTTATTTTCCTCGTTAATATTATTTTCAGAATATGTATTCTTTATTATTTTAATGAAATTTAATATATTATTTATCATAACTAATTACTTTTCTTCATTAATGTAACTATCAGAGGAAATTGTGTATTTTAACACACACATATAATACAGGGTGGGGCATAACGGAGTCTCACATTTATGAGGTGAATTAAAGGTTTTTTTTTTTTGGTTAAGTTTTAAAAATGATGACGTCCTCGCTAGTGGCATGAACGATTTTCATTAGTCAACATGCCATGGATGGGTGAACTACAGAGCTTCATCATTGAGGCTTTTTTCAAAAATTCAGAGTCTGTGACTGTGACACAAAGGACATTTTCACACATGATTTTGTTTAAATGCAAAGGAAACTGTTCCTCATCGGAAAATGATTTTGAAATGGGTCCAAAATTTAAGGGCAACAGGATCTGCAAATCCTAAAAAGCCAGTTGGGTATCACAAATCCGTGAGGACACCTGCAAACATCGTCACACTCGGAGCATTGGAGACTGCTCCAAAGCTTTTGATTTCAACAGGATGGAGCCACAGTCCATAGGACCTATTGTTCTTACACCATTTTGACAGAGCTGTTCCCTGGTTGACTAATCTCTTTATGAGAAGCTGTTGAATGGCCCCCTCGCTTACCTGATTTGAGCCCCTATGACTTTTTCTATGGGGAGTATCTCAACCCTTGAACTCTTCAAGAACTCAAGGAGGCCATTCATGAGGAAATTGCCAAAATTCCTCCAGATATGCTGGTGAGAGAAAACTTCAAGGAATGGCTCCAAATGTGCATTGCTCATGAAGGCCAACAATTGGACAACATTATTATTAAAATCTAACCAAAAAAAACTTTTTAGTTAAAAAAAAAACTTTCTTACATGTACAGTACTTTGATTAAATAAAAAGTTTTTTCCATATTATTGTACCTTTTTTTTTCTAATCATCTTTTCTAACATTTCATAAATGTAGGACTCCATTATGCTCCATCCTGTACAAAACTACATTGACTTCACTAATTCATTAACTCACTGACTTGTAGATGTGAAATGTTTGAATACAAACACAATTTTTACAAAAAAATGAAATGGTAGCGTCCAAAATGGGCTGTTGATTATATTATCAGAAAAATCAGAAACACGGGATATAAAATATTTTATTTTTTATATCCCAATAGATATCAAAATTCAATTTTTATGTCTGGAACTATGGATCTCTCAGCATTGTTACATTTAAAAGTAATTAGGAATATAATCCTGGTAAATATATTTAGTAAAACCTGTCTATGGTGACCACACATGGTTCCTTTCCAAAAGTGATCTTTTAGACAGATGGTGCTGTAATATTGTATTTCTGTATATATTTTGTACACTTTTTAGCCATATCTACTAAGCAAAACTCAAGGTGATCAAAAATAAGTGAATTTTTTCAAGGATAGAGCTATATAGGTACTGTATTTTATTCTTATCGGATAACTTGATTTACAGAAGTCGTCATGATTTTATAAGACAGATTTAATACCAGTATTTTAAAGATTAATACAGTATTCACATTTTCTTGATTATAATGCACACTTTCTTTATTCTGACTTAGTTAGTTCAACTTGGTTCTCTTCATTCACTCCTCAGTTACGTGTACAGTAATACCTCGACTTACGCTACCCCGACTTACGCGAACCCGGAGTTACGCAATTTTCAAATCTCGTCAATTCATCTTTTGTTTGAGCGCCATGCAACTGATGATTATTCACTCTCCCCATCTATTGATCAGCTTACATGTTCGGATGTGTCGTGCGGAATCGACACATAAATAACACAAAATAAATTGTAGCTATTTCTGTATTTGTTATATCTACGGAGACTTGAGAGACTCTTTGTGGTGATTTCTTGTAACCGTGAACGAATCAAAAGACGAGATAAGATTAACGAGAACATTTATTAGCTTGCTTACATCCGACTTGGATTTTACACAAATTGCGAAATTATACCCTGACTTATGCGAATTTGACTTACGCGGTTATCGNTTTTTATTTAAATATCTGTTTATATTCTACCGCGCATATTTTTATTTAAATATCTGTTTATATTCTACCGTTGCTATCATTCCAAATTTGCTATTTAAGATTGGAATGTTTTTAAAAATTTTGTATTCAAAAAAGGTTCTAATGACCTGAAGAAGACGAAAGTGTATATCGTCGAAAGCGCTCGTCAATTTAGTGACATAGGTGTCTAATTTAACGCTTATATGTTAAAAGTTTTTATTACTTTTTTTCATAATACGATTTCATTACATCAATGACAATCGTGGAATCATAAAAGGAAGGTTGCCTGTAAAACTGATTTTAGCATTAATGCATTTATTGTTTTTTGAATATTTTGCATGAGAAAATTACTTGGATATTATTTTTCTAAGAATATTGTGGAAATAAGATAGTTTGATACTGAAACTATTTATCACACATGTACTGTATATGTACTTCAAAAAAAGAATATAAATAAATACATTCTATCAAATGATGAGATCAGCTGACTAATTTGTATCTTGTACAATATTTTATACCCCAAGGAAAATACTGTAGGTCTATAGTACAATAAATTGACAGTAAGGATATAGTATGCACTCTTGTATGTAGATACATGTACTGTACCTGTATTTAAAATTGTGTAAAATACAGCAAAGTTTTATGGCCGATTGCAGAGACAGAGTTTACATTAAATGACGTTTATCAACGAACGGCCTATAGCCGTTGGCTGGCTGAACCGCAGTTTAAAATGCGTTGCAAAGACGACGATCGTCTATTTCTGACCGTTCTCTAAACGAACTTCGGCAAAACATTGGCTCTTACTTACTTCGCTATTACTCCCCTGTTTTAGGAGTCGTTCGGCCAATCGGGTTATTTCTTTGTGACGT